AGAGAGAGAGGGAGAGAGAGTGTCACTATCACAGCACCATGACTGAAGGATGGAAAAATACGGACTATTAATTGAAGAGAATGATTGCCATGGTCTAATGAATACAAGGAAAAGTGCTTATGCAGTGGAAAATGAAAAAGAACAAAGAACGGACTGTAAAGCAACTTGCTGAACTTTTATGCCATGAGGAGGGAGATTGACATGATCTATGATGCAGAAAAATAAATTTCAGTTATGAAGAACTAAGCAAGGAGAAAAGGAGCAGCAGCAAGAAAGACAAGCTGGATAACTGGGGGTTAAATCCCTGGCTCCTCTGTCTCAACATGTCTGAGCCATCATCCCAGCAGTTAATACGGACAGCTATCAGTGTCCACTGCCTGGAGTCCCAAACAGTGATTTCTTAAACCAGCACCAACAGGTTAATCTGATCACAAATAGGCAATCTAGCCAATGCTTTTTACAAGAGAACAAAGTAAAGAAATGAGTTAAGATTTACCGTTACACTAATAATTTATCTTAACAGTCCCCTTAACCACTAAAATCAGGATGATATGAACATGCAGTCATGAAAAAATCTGGCTGATAGGAACTTGCTGTCATGAGAGTTTCAACTGAAAGCTTGGGCGATGGGAATGACTCACACGTGCACAAAGCTCTTGGAGGGTGATTAGACTAGTGAGCATTTATGAAATGGCTTTTGCATTTTTCCATCTATAATCTTGTGTAGTATGTACCATCCCTGGGCCATGACTAGAGGAATGCCAGCTCCAGGGAGGACATTATTTCCATTGTCAAGATCCTTTCTGTGCCCTCTAGAACATAGAATAAAAAAAAAAAATCCAGAACACTGAATTTTTTTTTTTTTTTAATTATTGCAATGAGTATTGAATACCATAATATGGAGTCAGTGCTAGAAAAAACATCTATTACCGTTGGGATAAAACAAATCAAATGACAAACATAGACATTGGTAAATGGCCAAAACGCTAAAAACAGAAAATATTATTACAAAGGGCAGGCAAAGAAGCTATTTTCGGATGCCTAAATGCAAAGAGGTAAGAAGCTGTCGCCCATTTTCACATGCCATCATCTAAAAATAATGAATAATTTCTCACCTGATCTAATGTTTTCCCGTTGACTTCTATTCCATTAACTTCCAGGACTTCATCGTTTACTGCCAGCAGCCCAGTACTCTCTGCTAGCCCACCTGGTACTAACCGAGAGATGAATATACCAGGCACTCTCTCCAGGCCATGTGGAGTTACTCGCACACTTGTTCCATCTCGAATGTAAAAACCTAGAGGTTTATCTGATCCATGCTTCAACAGTCGCACTCTCCTGCACACCTCAGGCACTACATCCACATCAATTATAGCTGCTACCTGTAAAAAAAATAAAATAATATTAATAATAAAAATAATCAATGCAAAAACTTCAATGAAATGAAGTTTGTAGAATATCAATAACTAGGGCAAAAAGACTATATGATATTACTCATACAAACATCAAGTACATATATTTTGTGTGTGTGTTTGTGTATATGGTGTGTGTTGTGTATGGTGCATGGTGTGTGGTTTGTGGTGTGTGTTGTGCGTGCATGCGAGCACACATGCATGCATATATGTGTATTGTGTGAGTGTGTGGGTGGGTGTGTTGCGTGAGCAT